ATATTGAGTGAAATTGAAAGGCTCTGCTAGTGCAAACAATGAGGTATTCATTATTGAATCATTTTATCAAATTGTTGTACTGCAAGTCCATCATGTTCACTACTGCAGAAAAGGCTTTTTACATCGGTTAAAATGGGCTTTCGACGTCGGTTAAAGCGGCGACATAGATACGGGGGTCATAGAAAATAAGGCTTTCTACGTCGGTTCCTAATAACCGACGTAGAAAGTAAGACTTTCTACGTCGGTTAATAGGAACCGACGTAGAAAGCCTTACTTTCTTTGAGCTATTATGATCGGTCAAACTGGTTATGATCGGTCATAGAGCTATCTTGATCGATCATAACTGGTTCTGATCGGTCACATAAATACTTTCTACGTCGGTTAGTCAGGGAACTGACGTAGAAAGTCTTATTTTGTATGAGCTATTACGATCGGTCATACTGGTTTCGATCGGTCATATACTTTCTATGTCGGTTGACACTTATAACCGACATAAAAAGTCTTACTTTCTATGTCGGTTAAAATTATAACCGACATAAAAGTACTTTCTACGTCGGGTAATGACATAACCGAGCGTAGAAAGTGTTATTTTTTTAAAATACCTGCATTTTATTTACGAGATGCTACCTTTCTTCGAGTAGACACTGCCTATTCATCACGGTTCCGAGACAAATAACCACATATCCGATGCAGACGAGATATGCACAGTTCATATATAAATTTGCTACGAGATATATATCCGAGTACAGACAGATTCGATTGCAGACGAGATATGTACATATGAAACACATTGAAATGAATATATGTACGGACGAGATCCAGTTCCAGACAGTTCATTTACTTAAACGAATGTAAATTTCCTAACTTAAATCAATTCTATCTAAATTGTTACAAGTTAAATTTCCTATGAAGATTGAATGCTTAAATTTCCTATCAAGTTGGAGCATTCTCCCAAAATCCTTCCATATGGTCATAACGGATGACATGCACATCATCTATTTCTACATTAACACTCAAGTTTGGCATATTTGAAGAGAAACATGGTGTCTCGGGTATATCAAGTACTAATTCATCATTCTCATCGAAGTATACATGGGTTTTCCTTGTAGAACCACTGATCATCCTTTGTTAGCGGGATCGGTGACATAAAACACTTGTTTTGCACGAGATGCCATGATAAATGGTTCTTCGGTATAACGAGTATTTTCAAGGTTAACCAAGGTAAATCCAAGATCATCGGTGAAGATGCCGGTATTAAAATCAACCCACTTGCATTTAAAAATAGGTACTCCGAATATCGTGTAATCTATTACCCAAATCTCTTCAATTACACCAAAGTATCCCATTGACGCCCTTATCGGATATTTATCCTTTGAACTCGAGAAATGCATTGATTCGGCCACCACCATGACTCCACTATTTTGCATTGTGCTTATTTCATCTTCTCCCTTTGTATAAAATGAATAGTTATTTATATCATACCCACCCCAACATATCACATCAAAGTTTGGCTCACATGCTAGCCACTTTAGTGTATCGAAAGCTGTATTGTCACCTTCAACTTGTTGTTTAAACCACTTCAAAAAGCTCTTGTTGTGTTCGGTGATCACCCACTTTTTAGGCATACGTGGATTATTTCGCTTCACAATCTCTTTATGAGCACTTAAGTAGGGGATGACTTCTTCACTGTTATTCAATATGTACAAATGCGCTTGAAGTACTTCATCTCGACACATTGTCACAACTTTTGCACCTCGAGTTCCTCTACCAAGACCTATTCCATGGTAACGAGTCTTAGGTAACCCTATAGCTTCAACTTCGATAAGTAGTTTGTGCAAAACTCAATAGCTTCCTCTGCAATATATCTTTGAACAATTGATGCTTCGGGACGATATTGGTTCTTCACATACCCTTTTAATATTTTCATGTATCGCTCAAAAGGGTACATCCATCGTAAGAAAAGCTGGACCACAGATTCTAACTTCCCTGGCTAGATGAACAATCAAGTGAACCATAATATCAAAAAATGATGGAGGAAAGTACATCTCAAATTGACATAATATTACTGCAGCCTCATTCTCTAACCGATCCAAAACATCCGGGTCCATAACTTTACTACATATGGCATTAAAAAAAGCATAATCGAGTTAAGGAATATCTAACATTGTGCGGTAAGATACCTCGAATAGCCACGGGTAGAAGTTGTTGCATCAATACATGACAATCATGAGATTTTAACCCAAGCAATTTGAGATCTTTCATAGATACAAGTCTCTTCACATTGGAAGAGTAACCAAATGGAACCTTCACACCTCGTAAAAACTCACAAAAACTTTTTTCTCTTTTTTAGACGAGTGTGTGACATGCTTGGAGGCAAGTATGTTCGGTTACCATGAGGTTGAGGAGCTAATTGTTCTCTTATACCCATTTCAACCATGTCCAAACGAGCATTGACACCATCTTTTGTTTTTCCTTGAATGTTAAGGAGCGTTCCGATGATACTTGTCACACACATTTTTCTCTACATGCATGACATCTATACAATGCCTCACATCAAGAATCCTCCAATATGGAAGAACAAAAAGGATTGACATTTTCTTCCATATACACTGTGGCTTTCTTTTGCGTCTTTCCAAACTCACACGAAATTGCACTTACTCGTTGATATACTTCTTCCCCACTTAAAGGTGTTGGGGCTGCATCATTTTCTTGACACTCGTTAAATGATTTTTTTAATTTACGATATGAATGGTTTGAAGGAAGAAATCTTCGGTGTCCAAGGTACACTTGTTTTCCTTCCATGTTGTAGTTGATAGTGACATGTGTCTTCTTCACATATCGGGCAAGCTTTATGTCCCTTTGTGTTGTAGCCACTCAAATTACCATATCTTTGGAAAGTCATTAATTGTACAAAATAACATTGCACGCAACTTGAATAAGTCACCTGTGTACCCATCAAACACATCAACACCTTCCTCCCACAACATCTTCAACTCTTCAACCAATGGGCTTAAAAAAACATCAATGTCATTTCCAGGTTGTGCGGGACCCGAGATCATCAAAGATAGCATCAAGTACTTACGTTTCATACACAACCACGGAGGTAAGTTGTAAATAACTAACACCACGAGGCCATGAACTATGTTTCTTGCTTAAATTTCCATATGGATTCATTCCATCCGTAGCAAGTCCAAACCTAATGTTTCTTGGATCATTACCAAAATTCTGGAAGATGGAATCAATTTTTTTCCATTGCAATCCATCTGCCGGATGCCTCAACCGACCATCTTTAATACGACTATCCGCATGCCATCTAGTGAGCTTTGCATCATTTCCATTAGTGAACAATCGTTTCAACCTTGGAACAATGGGAAGATACCATAACACTTTTGTCGGGGTACCCTTCATAACATCATTGTCGGAATCACCATCCTTCTTCTTGTATCGTGATTCCCCGCATTGTGGACATTCGTGACAGTTCTCAAATTCTTTCCTGTACAACACACAATCATTCGGACATGCATGAATTTTTTGGTACTCCATACCCATTGGACACAATATCTTCTTAGCATCATAATTGCGGGTTGACAATGTGTTACCTTCGGGGAGCATGTCACTCAACAACTCAAGCAATTCCGTGAAACTTTTATCGAGTCCACCCATTCTTTGCCTTCACATTGAACAATTTTAGTACCGCAGACAATCATGTGAACTTAGTACAATTTGTATACAAAGGCTCTTTTGCATCATTGGACAACTTCTCGTACACATGTGTGTGTTGGAAGGCATCTTGTCCAAGCTCACGAATCATTTCCTCCAGTTGATCATCCATCTCTAGATCAACTTCTTCTTTGTCTTCTACACTTGGCATGTTTAATAATTCACCATGCCATGTCCACTTTATGTAACTCTTTAGGAAACCATCACAAAGAACATGTTCCCGAATAACTTCGGTCGGTAATCTTCGCTCATTCAAGCGGTTAACACAAGGGCAATAGAATCTTCCATCATTATCCGGAACATTCATCTTAGCAAATTCAAGGAATTGTTCTACTCCACTCTCATATTCATTTGTTGTTCGTACGTAATTGATCCAACTCCGATCCATTGTTACAAATCTAATTTTCAAAATCAAATTAGCTACAGAAACACGAAATAACTACATTATAATGCCTACACGAAATCCAACTCCACTCTCAAAATAACTACATTATAATACAAATCTAATGTTCAAAATCAAAATCACGAAAGAATGCCGACAGAAACACATTCAAATGACTAAACTACTTACAATACATCTCTAAATTAGCTAAAGGCACCCGTGATGTTTCCCTCTCTTGACAGCATTATTACTTACTAGATTCAATACTGTAAACCTACATTGGCTAAAGCAAGCACGAAAACTTACCTCTTGAAGACCTACGAGAGGTGGCGGGTGGCGTGACGTGCGAGGTTGGGTGGGGAGAAACGTATCCAAGGCGACGGGCACCCGGTAGCGGCGAGGCGGCACGAAGCGTTGGCGAGGTGGCTCTGGTATGGGTGAACTGATGAAAGGAAATGGAGCGTAGGGAGAAACGTACAGGGGAGCGCTGCTATGGGGGGGAAGTGATGAAATGAAATGGAGTGGGGGGGAAGTGATGAAATGAAATGGAGCGCGGGCAAAACAGAAGATACTATGTCGGTTGCCCTAACACCCGTCATCAAAGACACTTTCTACGTCGGTTAAAATTTACCCGACATAGAAAGTTCATTTTCTACGTCGGGTAAATGTTACCCGACATAGAAAGTTAACTTTCTATGTCGGGTAAATTTTAACCGACGTAGAAAGTGACATTTCCACTTACTATGTCGGTTAAAACTTACCCGACATAGAAAGTTTATGATTTTATTACAAAATTGCCACCGCGCCACATACTATGACGGGTGGATTACGACCGTGATAAAAACCCGTCATAGAAAGCTATTTTTCCACTAGTGGTTGATACATATTCTAGTGTCTATTATAGTGCATTTATGCTTATTTTGGTGTTTGTTAAAGTGTTAATCCTTATCCATTTGATGTTAGTTTTGGCCCGAAATTTTAGATCATAGAGCATCCCAAAGCCAATGAAGGATGCCAAAACTCTGAAAAATCTCGCATTATTATAGGATCCCAAGGCTCTCCCTATTGTGGTTGTTTCTCCCTTGCTGCCAAAACTGTAACCAGCTCTTAGGCATCCAAGATTTGAAGTTGTGGCGACTAGACCTCCAAGATTTGTAGTTGTAATGGCTAAACCTCCAAGATATGAAGTTGCTATGGCGGCTAGGCCTCCAAGATCTGAAGCCCTTCTTTTTATAGACTCAACAAAGGGATCATGTTAGGTGTCTAATATCTGGAAAAAGGGTTGTTGGGTTACTGATGGAGGATGGGGGCACAAAAAATTTAAGTTAGATCCTTTATCAATCTAACATAAATTTATGTTGATTAGTTACTCCAACTTAAATTTATGTCTCCAGCATTAACATTGGAGTTTAATCAAACATAAAAAAACTCAAAATAACATACGTAAAATCCTCTTGTGTACTAGTGTGTATAATCTAGAATAATTTGAAATCTTCTAACAATGTAAGGCAGAATTTACATTTCATCATTACCTTAATTTAAAGAATCTAGCTCTCATCAACTTGGCATAAGTCATGTGGTTATGAGTGAGTCATAAGCTAACTTCAGCAAAGCAACATGATTTTTCACCTTCATAAAAACAACCCCAGACCACCCTCATCACAAGAACAACAAACAAATTTTCATTTAACCGTAACTTATTTCTTGTGGTTAATATTCCCCAAACAAATACAGTTTCTAATCCAACCATTAATCTCCTTAAGTAGCATACTAGGACATCAGTAAATGTGGAATTTATAATTTAAACTATTAGAAATTACATAATTAAATAATTGTATTCTTTCCATCACACAAAGTAGCATTCCTTTCCAACTTGAAAGCTTAGTTTTTACTCTATCCATCAATCCTCAAAAGAATTTGTGTTTTAGAACCTCCTTTAAAGATAAAACACCTTGAACCCCTATCAAAACCCAATAGAGTTGTAATGTTATTATTAAAAGCCATAAATGTAAAACCAATATAAAAGTGACTCTTATCAAGCTTATCAGACAATTTTTGTTAGCTATCCAAAACACAAAACACCATCAACATATAAAATATGTGAGGGAAGAGACATATCTCTTGTACTAGCCATAGGAAGCAAATGTCTTTATTAGATCAAGTTATCATTCCTGTGCTCAACACCTCTTTAGGAAAAGTGGATCTCTTTGTCTAACTCTCCTTTTACAGTGAAAATACCCCATTAATTCCCTATTGACATCATTAAAGAGGTTGACATAATGCATAATAATGTGTATCCATACATAACAATTTTCATTAAAGCTAAAAGATCGATTAATAGGAACTGCCAATTTAAAGTGTCAAAAGCATTACTAATGTCTAATTTGATCACTAGATTTCAACCAACACTTTTTTTTGTCAAGCATATTAATTGTTTCAGAAGTTATACCACTAATACTTCCTACCTTTAACAAAAACCATTTTATTGAATTGAGACTATTCTGAGTAATGACAACAAGCTTATCAACGAGAACATCAAAGATTATTTAAAACAAATTTTATACATCAACAGGCCTAAAATCCTTAATTTTAACTTCACCTTCAATTTTAGGAATAAGTGAAATGATACTACAATTCATACTAGGAAAAATTAAGGGTGTCAAAATAGACTTAGTCTGAAAGGCCCAAAAAATAGGTAGGCTAGGTAAAAAAAATTATGGACTAAATAGAACCAAGTCAATTTTAGTCTGACCTATTTAGATCATGGTCTAAATGGACTTAAGTCAGGTTAATCAGTGTGTGTATGTGTGGGTGTGTGCATGGGTGTGCTTGTGTGTGTGTGTGTGTGTGTATGTGCATGTGTGGGTGGGTGTGGGTGTGTGTGTGTGTAAATTTAACTGTCATAGTTCTGAGTCATACTTCTCATGTGACTAGTAACAAAAGGGTGGACTGTCTAAGAAAACAAATTAGTATTCAATATTTTATCATTTTTATATTATGCAAATTTAATTATTTATTGTTATTTGTTTACTTTTTGCTATCAATTATAGATACAAAATAAGTTGATATATTATGATTTTATACGATAAATTTTTGTACAATAAAATTTTATGATTTTATTTTACCTATATGGTTATGAGTTAATTTTGAATAAATAAATAAATGACATATTATTTTTTCCAAACAAAATTAAAAAAATTATATAAATAAAATATTTTGTTATTTTTAATTATGTTTCGCTAAACTAAAAATTTTGGTCCGTTTTAAAGTATAGACCAAATTGGATTGTTAGTTTTTTTTACTTGGGTCGGGCGAGGCTAGACTGGACCGGTCCATTTTGATAGCCCTAGGAAAAATTCAACTATGTAAAGAATTGAACTATAGCAGTATTATATTTTTATAGCTTTGAGTTATTATTAGATTAAGAAAATTTTCATTGGCAAGGAACCCGAGTACCTTAGAGTTAGAAGTCGATATTTCAACCATTAAGCTACTAGAATTTTTTGATAATAATTTACAAATAAATTATATTTATATATTTATATATTTATATATTTATATATTTATATATTTATATATTTATATATTTATATATTTATATATTTATATATTTATATATTTATATATTTATATATTTATATATTTATATATTTATATATTTATATATTTATATATTTATATATTTATATATTTATATATTTATATATATATATATATATTATATATTTATATATTTATATATTTATATATTTATATATTTATTATTTATTTAAAATTATTTAATTTAATAAATTATTATAAATTAATCTAATTATGATTAAATTAAATTATTAAATAAAAAAATATTTAATTTTTTAATTAGGTGAATAATTAATTTATTAGAATATATTAAGTAATTATTATATAATTTTACCGACGGATATATCCGTCGGTAATTAATTGTTAATTTACCGATGGATTTACCGAGCGAAAATATCTCGTCGGTAAGTAATTGTTAATTCTGCAGATGAATTTATCGACGGATATATTTGTCGGTAATTAATTGTTAATTTACCGACGGATATATCCGTCAGTAATTTCTGTCGGTAATGACTCATTTTCCGATGGCTACAAATTCATCGGTAAATATCGGTCGAAAATATGCGATTTTCTTGTAGTGTATAAGGGTCACAAGTCCTCCACCATTTAGGTTGAATACAACTTTCTTGACTTCCACCATAAGAAGGGTTGCAATATAAGATTTTCAATTTGGCTATCTCTGTTCAAAATGACATCACCATCTTTATGCCCGGTGATTTGGTTAAATTTATTGCAACCTTTAGCTAAAGAATGAAAAAACTCGATGTTATGATCCCTTAAAATAAATCAGTTCATCTTGACTTCTTTTTTTTCTCAATAAACCACAAGTTAAGATAATATTCAATTATCAAGGTAGTTACATGCCAAGACTAGTGATTGACTTAATGTACTTCAAATTCTGAAGTCTAAATCTATTTTTCCCACACACTAAAGGTTTGAAATATCATTACCCCGTTTATTAATAGCACAAGTCTTATAATGAAGAAATTACCAAAATAAAATAGGGACCTTATTAATATGAATTATCGATTCATATTACGCTATCATAATTTTCTCAAAGTTTTGGACACTACTTGTCAGAAAGTTTCTTCAACAAAATCATTAAAGTCTTCTTTAACTATCTCAACTAGATTATTGATTTTCACTATGGTTAATGAAATCAAATATTCAAAGTTTCTTTAAAGATTTTGTAATATAAAGCACAAACTCAAGTCATTATTCTCAAGGAGACATATTGAAATGTATTCAATTTTTTTTTCTTTCCATACAAGTAAGAGTTAAGGATTGGAAAATATAAAACAAGAATTGAAAAACAAAGCAAAACAAAATTTAAAGAGTAAAAACCGAAATAAAAATGATAGAAATAGATCAATCCATGATTTCAACAATCAACAATCCTCTTATCATAGTTCTTTAAATATTTTAGTTCAAGTTTGAACAATTAACCAATTCAACTAAAAAAACTAAACCTATTATACGAATTAAATCCTAATATAACTCAATCTAATCTATATTTAATTATCAAATCAAGATTTAATTTATTCCTAATTTGATTTCTCAAATGAAAATTATAAATTAATATGACAAAGTGCAAAACCAAAATTAGTGTAACAATCAGTACAAAACTCAATTTGGCTTGTTTAATCTTGATTTTGTGAGTTGATCATCAAGATTTAGTTTCCCATGGATGAAGAACTCAAGAACAATTCAAACTAGAAACAAAGGAGAAGAATAGGAAGAGTAAAAAAGAAAATGAGAGGGAAGAGAAAAAAGAGAAGATGTAAAAACACTTCCTCAAAACTAACAAAATGATTTCTTGATATGGGTTTAGAGAATATTTAGGATATTATATGCTCTCAAGTATGAAGTAAACAAGGCCTAAATGTGGGCTCTAATTATGTTCATAAGCTCAATTTCAAAAGTTAAAGCTCATATAAAAAAATATATAATTCGTATAAATTCTTTACAAATTTTAAACAAATCTACCTCAGTTTCTAAAAATAAAAGAACACAACATAAAACTCTAAATGTATAAATCCATATATCCATTTAAAATTCGTAAAAAATTAGAATCCAATACAGCTTGAATCAGTAAAACATAATATCTATAGAAAACGATATGGCAAAAACAGTGAGCAAAGGTCAAATAAGCTAAAAATACAAAATTAAAACAAATAAATTAATTAAACCCGATTTATTACTACTAAATAAAAATGACTATAAAACTAAAATTAAAGGATGTAAAAAGTACATTCACTGTATAATAAAGCTATAAATGTGTGTCAAAATGTGTTATCAATTATTTGTCTCTTCTTTCATTCAATTAGGCCAAAATTTTGATAAAGTTTTCATGTCACACATCATATGATGATTGACTTGAATTTGAGAAGTAGCTTATGGTGAATGATGAGAGTTTGCAAGTGATTTTTGTTGAACATTCAAGGACTTGATGTTGTACTTGATGGGCATGAAGATTGTTGATTTTGATGATGATTCAAGAACTCAAAGACTTAGAGTGTTGAAGACTTGTTTTGTATTATAATAACTCTGTTTCAATTAGATTGAGTCTGTAATATTAGTGTTTAAGATAGCCGGTACATAGTCTGCACCTTAGAAGCTTCAAAAAGCTCAAATTTATCATCTAGGCTCGGCTTTAATCGATTAAATAGGGAAATAATCGATTAAAACAGTGAGAAAAACCATTTTCTGTATCTGCTCACTGGTTTAATCGATTAAACCACCTGTTAATCGATTAACAGGCGATTTAATCGATTAACGACCCTTTTAATCGATTAAAACAGAGAGTTTAAAGGTTCTGTTGATTTTGGCTCTATAATAATCGATTAACTCTTGATTTAATTGATTATTTCAGTCAGATTTCAAATTTTAACTTCAAATGAACCCTATTTTCGAAAATCCTATTTCCAAGAACCCTAATTCCGAAATTCCCAATTCCCAAACCCTAATTTCTCTACTTAAGCTTCTCTATGGCACTCA